CTCCCCTCCCCTCCCCCCTAAGATTTGAGTCTAGGATCGTGTCTCCAGTCTTGGTCCGAGCTCTGGGGTTAAAAGTCACCGCCTAGGGCCAGGAGTGGTCTGAGATGTCCCTCAGGGAAAATGGTCTGGGTTTCTGGGGCTTGAAGAGACCCCCAGGGCCTGGAAAAGTCAACCCAGTCCTGAGGAAAGTCAACAGCCAGGCCCTACCCGGGCAAAGCAGACCAAGAGTCAAAGATAATCCAGAAGTCTACTTCGAGTCGGTAAGCTCAGGCAGGCAGGCTGAGTCAACACTGTGCTTGCCCTACCTCGTGCATTCATTCTGTCTGGCGAGTCGCTGCTGATACTCGTGCACTGGAGGGGTCTACCTAGCGCCACGCAGAAGTAGAGAGAGAGGCACAGGCGGCCGTAGCTGTGGTAGAGGCTGCCTGTAGGATATGGGAGGCTTCTGCCTCCATACCCACTGAGTGTGTGGGCTGTGTGTGTGTGTGTGAGAGAGAGAGAGAGAGAGAGAGAGAGAGAGGACTTGGAAAGAAGGTAAGAGGTAAGATCAGGCGTGTGGAGAGGAGGTTGCTTACCTGGTGACTTCATGCTGGTGCTCTTTTCGCTGTAGGAGACTCCATTAACGCTCAGTTCAAAGCCTGTCTTTTTGCACTAACCACCCACCTCTTCAATCTCCTAGATGCATACTCAGGCTAGGCGCATGCCATATTCTACCAGGTGTTGAGGCAGCCAAAGCGACAGGATGAGAAGAAGAAGAACTCACCAGTTAAAGGAAGCTGCAAAGCATTAGGCATTTGTGGCAATGCAGATGAGGAAGGACAGGATGGACAGAAGGCAGTGCTGGGCGCTATAAATCGAATGCATAAGAAGCTTAGACCGAGAACATGCCAAGGAGTGAGAAACCTGCATGGACTTCAAATTGGCATCCACCACCTTACATAACTCATCAGTTTGATCCTTCTAACGAATTGAATTTCTTTTCTTCTTCTTCTTCTTCTTTGATAGCTGCCCATACTTCTTCATTGATAACCACCCATTTCTTCTTATTTCTTGATAGCCACTCCCTTTTCTGCTTCTTCCTCCCCTCCTCCTCCTCTTCCCCCTCCCTCTCCTCCTCCTCCTCATTGATAACCACCCATTTCTTCTTATTTCTTGATAGCCACTCCCTTTTCTGCTTCTTCCTCCCCTCCTCCTCCTCTTCCCCCTCCCTCTCCTCCTCCTCC